TCTGCTTCTAGTTTGCAGGCTCCCAGCTTCTCTCTGCCACAACTTTCAATAAGTTTTTCTTGAAGGCTTCACTGTTTTTGATATCAAGCTTTCCCACCACCCGGCCTGTCTGAGTCTCTGCCAAATGAAAGTGATGGAGCTGACTCCCCTGTGATAACTAGCTATAAATATATTGTTTATTTTCATTTAAGTACATTTCCACAAAGTACATGTTTCACTAATATAAAAATTAGAATCAGATTCAACATGATTTTAATTTCTATAAAAGAGACCCATGTATACCATGCCTATGTGTATACATGTGTTTTATTTTTTATTGTTGTTTTTTAAATATCTTTATTTATTTTTATGTGGTGCTGAGGATCGAACCCTTGCGCATGCCAGGCCAGTGGGCTACCACTTGAGCCACATCCCCAGCCCCTATACATATGTTTTAAAAGAAGTGAGTTCTATGAATTTAAAGAAAAAAAAAACTGATCTGAATACTATACTTTTATGTGCGCACACACACACACACGCACACACATAGGTGTGTGTGTGCGTGTGTGTGTATAATGCTGCTCAACATTAATGAAGAAAATAAAAATCTCATGACTTTCTCAAAATACATTTTCAGTCTCTAGGTAGTTATAAAATGTCAAGCAACTAGAAATAGAAATATGAATAGCTTTTTAAAACTCTCTATGTCATATAAATATTTAAACATCTATTAAAAGTTGTCTTGCTTTTATAACCTTACTACTCATGAAAGGGTTTAGATGAGATAACCTTCTACCCTGATGTTCTTTAGAGCAAAAGAAGAAGCAGTTCTGGAAGCAGCAGCTGGCCTTATCAACACTGGTGACATTTTGCAGCAAAATGAAGAGCCCTTCTAAAAGTGTAATCTGAAGGGTAAGAGGCAGCAAGATTTAAAAATATGCCCTTGCTGTAAAGACCAAAGAAATGTAATAGAGAACTCGCTGCTCTTTATAATTTTGGCCAACCCTGGCAGATGTTTTCAAGCGCTGTTTGCTTAGTAGATGAGTGAGGATATTTTTAGATGTAAAATTGCAAAGCCCCCTGTTTGCCCTTACAGCACTGAACACTGAGTGAGAAAGGAAGAAACACATAACTGGGGATTAACACCCTTTCTGTACGTGAAATACTGTGAAATACTGCTATTGAAATACTGTGGAGATTTTGCAGACATCAAGATGATCATTTCTGTTAAGCACAAACACAGTCCTATATTTTTTCTTTACTATGTATACAAGCTCATATCTAAAGAAGTAGCTCTATGGGAAAATAAAACTAATGAAATAATTGTGCTCATTATAGACTCAGAATAATGGTCATTCCAGCCATGCAGGAATAGAAGGATGATGGAGAAAATTAGAATGGCTTTTTCTCATGCTTCAGAAAATCCTGAGAACTAACAGGGGACTTAGAGAGAAGGTCATTTCCAGACCCAGCTCTATATATCATTTCTGGTGTGTGATAGTCAGCTTTAACTTCCTGTTTAGAAAGTTTATTCATTGTGAAGTAGCCCATTTCATTTTCAAAAGATTTAAATAACAAAATATTGAACTCATAATGAGACTAAATGTGCTATTCTATAATATCTGATTTTTTTCTTAACTTCTATGTAAACATGATAATTAAAATTATTTAAAAATATCAGATAGACCTTTCACACATGACCATTAGGTTCTAGAATAAGCATGCCTAATGACTATGGCTAGTTTCTATGATGTCCCCATTTCAAATCTGTGGGAAATTGGATTCTCATTTTGGATGACATTTATTTGCAAGCATTTTTCAAGAAGACTGTCCTAGAGAAGGAATTCTCCAGAGTGAACTAATTATTCATAACTTAATGGGACCACTAACACTCAATGTGACCATTCTGCTGAGTATGTATATATTAACATTTTCAACTCTGAGCAGGTAATCCTGAAGATTTATATATTAAGATAGCTCGTCTGTTCCATATTTAGGCAATTAACCTTTTACATTTGCATCTTGAAATTATGTTTTTTCAGATCACATATCATTTTACTTTTTCCTGAATCCTGACTGTCATCAGTTTCTCCTCTCACTCTAGTTAATGTGTCAAGTAGTCATCATGTAATAACTTATTTCTTCAGTTTCTAAAAAGTTATTTGATAAGAAAGCAGAAAATAATAGGGTGCTATGTATGGTAAGAGGGCTACTTGTACAGTCCTAACCTATTCTCCCCCATCCACCTCCAACTCACATGGTCAGAGAAAATAGAGGCCTATATGGGAACCTCATGGCTGAAGTGTGGAAGGGTCAGAATGCTTTCCAGAAAACAGAATAGGTACATTTCCTGCAAAATTAATGTTTTAATTCATTCAGGTTTCCATGATAAAACTCCATAGAATGAGTGACTTATAAAAAGGCATTTATTTATCATAGTTCTGAAGGCAGAGAGTTCAAGACCATGTACATTTGGAGTCTGATGAGGACTGGCCATATCATGGATGGCCTGTCACATTCTTAGTGCAACCTCACAAGGTAGAAGGGAGGAGGGCTGTGTTATACAGGCACTAATTCCACGCGTGAGTGTACCTCCCTTATGACTGAATCACATCCAAAGACCCCCTCTCTTAATATCATGAGTTTGAGAGTTAGGATTTCAACATATGAGTCTGGGGAGGACGTGGACATTCATTCCATTGCAATGGGGAAGAACCACTCTACTTATTATAAAAAACAAAAACAATTCCATATTTGGCTTAGTCTCCAAAATAAAATGGTGATCTGCCAGAATGAGGTAGATGATAAGGGGATTGAGTCCAAGGTAATCAATTCAGTGAAATTCATATTGAGTTTTAGCAAAATTTTTTTCTCATTTTTTAGGCATTTGGGTTTATTAGCAATGCTATGAAACACTAAACCCAAAGGTGTGTATTGAGTCATTAATCTCAACATGGAAATGATAGGTGGCCCAGGGAAGTGAGTGAAATCAAGATGGAGTATTGATAGATAAAACAGAATAGAAGTTTAAATTGAAAAGAACACTGAGAAACCAAGCTTCAGTGCTCATATGCATAGCAGATGATGTAATTGTGGTTAGATGTAGTTAGATAGGAAATTACTGGATGATACCTTCTTATATCTCCTGAAATAACCTCACAAAAGCCCCTCTTGGAGGCTGTAGTCCATATGCTAAAGCACAGTCATCTCTGTTTCTGTATTAATTGAATCCTTGTCATTAACACAAAACATACCAAAAATGATTCTCTGTTAGATTTGCTTTTATATAGTTTATTTTTCTTTGACTTCTGCATTAAAAAAAATTAAAAAACAACTTTCACTTTAATAAACATGATGCAGAATACAGAATGTACATTTAGCAGATAAACCCAAAAGCTGAAAGACTAAATTACTGATAAAACATGAAAAAAAGAATATAAGCGGTTACTTTTAAACTTCAAGTAGAATTTACTGCTGTTTAAAAATCTTGTTCTGGAGTAATAAAAGTCCAAGTGGCCAGATAAAAATGCTAATTAAATTGGCTTTAAGCTCCATCACTGTGAGGCTTGGGATAATTACCAGACATTTTCTGTCACAACAGATGAATGAGGCTTAACATTAAGACTATCAAAGGAAAATCAACATTGTTAAGAACCTGCTGCAGGTTCTCCTGGACACTGTTTTTGATTAGTCATTTTCAGAGGACATCTGTTTGACTTCTTGCAGTATATTTCGTTTTTCTGCAATAAAATCACATCTATTTTATAGTTACTTTTTTTTTTTGACTATCCTATTGAGCTTTGGAGGTGAGGAAGGGCAAGAACGTGTCAGTGTTGAGATATTAGGTTTGGCTGACTTTGGTTGGTCTTGCATTTAGCGTTTGAGGCTTTTTCAGTACAAGGAGGGTGAATATATTAAATCAAGTAAATGGCCAATTTGACTTAGAAAGGAGTTTGGAATTTTTCAAGGAAAAAATAGTAATTTTTAGTAATTACTAATTTTAAATTTTAAAATTAGTCATTTTAGTTAGTAATTGAAAAATAATAATTTTAGTGTCCTAGGGAAGTAGGCCAAAGATTTAAGTAATCTAAGAGGGTACCCAGCTGCAACATTTGTCTTGCTGCAAAATGAATTTAATGTCTTATTCTGTGAGAAGGAACTTATTGTATCTCTGCACTTTTATCAAGTCCTAGTCTAAGTCATGTTTAAGACGGTTATAATACCTTATTTTTATGTATCAATTTTTAAGTTAAAGTGAATTTGTTATTAAGAACTATCCTGAGAAACCCTTCTTTTGAATTTCTTTCTGGCACATATTACCATTTGGAACCAGAAAACTGAGGCCAATCTTGGGTTTTGACTTCTATGTACTCCCTCTACTTTTACTTCTATGTTAGTAATTTTCTGAAATTTTGCTATCCCATGTACCAGTGTCCTCAGGCTCTTCCCTGCCTGTGCTGCTTCCATGACCTTTTGAAATGGCAACATCTGGAGAAAACTTAAAACAGTCGCGTCAAGAAGGACTGTCCCCAGACTGTCTCCCCAATTCCCACGTGCATGGACACTCATCAAACTACCGGATTAGATTCCACGCCACCATTATTCTCCTTGACATTAGAATAAAAGCTCAAACATTAGTCACAATCCTGTGGTAAGAAAATATGATGCTTTTGAGTCAATGCAAACAGTATTTTAAATCAAAGACATAAATAACGACATCTATCAGGGCTGTGCACATAATTAGCCTGAAACAAACCAAGACTCTGAAATCACTTTTTTGGATGCCTCTAGAACATTTCTTTCCTTTCTACAAAACACACAGTCTCTGCAGTCTCTTAATCCACCCCACACACAGACTTGCTCACTCACTCACTGATGGCATTCACAGGGACATTATCTGTGCTGTTTTAAAACTCTAGTTAATAAGGCACATCATCATAAATACGAGTAAAAGTGATAATATGAGAGGAAAATCTCTATGGCTGTTTAACTGGAAAAAAGCAAACAATTTGAAATTCTACCTTTTCTCCATTGTGATATTTCTCATGATCACATAGATCTTTTCTCTAGATGACAATGCTGCCCCAGAGAGTGACAGCTCAAACTGCTGCATCCAAGGCCTCCAAAGGCATCATTAATTCCTCTCAATCCACCAGCCAGACTCTCGAGCCGGCTGCCAACTTTCAACTCTCCACATCCAGGGTCATTCTGCTATGTCCTGACCTCTCCTCCCTTGGCCACCAGAGTCTCCTCCTCACCCGTCTTCCTCCCTCCATTCCCACTTGGCTACAGCCCATTCTGTCCCCAGCAACAAGACATCTTCTCTACTCAAATGCCAGGGCAGACACTGCGGAAGCAACTATAGAAGTAATCCAGACACTTCCCACGTCTCCCACCACCAGTTCCAGCCTCTCATTTTCCTCCTGCAATTTCCCCTTTTACATACTGGGCTCTAGCTGCCCAACTCTGTTCCAATTTCCATCTCAAGAAAAAATGGCTACTGCTTTTCCTCATTACTTCCAGTCGTAAAATGATGATTGGTTCCTTTGCAGAACTCAATATATACAGACCTTACTTTTGCTACTTCTCATTACATATTCATTTTCTTCCTGTTCCCAGTAAAATGATCCAAATTTCCAAGGGAAATGATCTTTTTTTAAAAACAAAATTTGTTGTAGTTGGGCACAATATCTTTATTTTATTTACTTACTTTTATGTGGTGCTGAGGATGGAACCCAGGGCCTCACATGTGCTAGGTGAGTGGCCCTCCACTGCCCCATGATGTCTTTTGGGTTATTTGTTTGCTTGTTTTGAGTTCTTTATATATTCTGGATATTAATTACTTGTCAGAGAAATAGCTGGCAAAGATTTCCTCCCATTTATTTGTTCACGGTCTAAATAATTTCTCTGAGTAGGCAGAATTTTTAAAATTTTTGTCATCCCACTTATGAATTCTAGGTTGTATTTCTTTACAGGTATTGTTAAGGAAGACAGGGCCTACACCAATATGCTGAGGTGTTAAGTCTGTGTTTTATTCTGGCAGTTGCAGAGTGTGTGGTCTCATTCCTAGGTCTTTGGTCTAACTTTGATTAGACTTTTGTGAAGGGTGAGAGGGGATTAAGTTTTCTTCTTCTTCCTATGGATATCTAGTTTCCCTAACGTTTGTTCAAAAGGCTATCTTCTATTCAATGTTTGTTTTTGGCACATTTATTGAGTATCAGATCACTCTATCTATGTGAGTTTGGCTCTGTGTCATATTTTCCATTAGGCTTTATGACTGTTTTGATGCCAATATCATATTGTTTTTGTTGCGATAGCCTCTATAGTATAATTTGAGATCACATATTGTGATGTCTCCTGCATTGATCTTCTTGCTTAAGATTGCTTTGGCTATTCTGGATCTTTTAGTCTTCCAAATGAATTATAGAACTTTTTTCTAGTTCTGTGAATAATGTCATCTGTATTTTGACATGGAGGGCATTGAGTTTATATAATTCTTTTGACAGTATGGGCATTTTGGCAATATTAATTGTCCCAATTTGAGAATATAAGAGGTCACTCCATCTTCTAAGGTCTTCTTTAATTTATTTGTAGTATTGGTTTCACTGTGGAAGGCTTTCACATCCATGGTTAGATTTAGATGTAATTTTTTTGAGGTTATTGTGGATTGGATAGTGTTTCTGACTTCTTTCTCATTAGACTCATTATTGGACTATAGGAAAACTACAATATATGTATGTTTATCTTGGATAGTGGTACTTCACTACATGTGTTTATCAGAACTAGAAAGTCTTCTAATGGAGTTTTTTGGAGGATATACAATCATGTCATCAGCAAACAGAGATAATTTGCCTTCTTTTTCCCTTTTTGCTTCATTTTAATTTTCATTTCTTGCCTGATTTCACTTGATACAGTTCCTATGTTGCATAGGAGTGATGAGAGTGGGCATCTTTGACTTATTCTTGATGTTAGAGGAAATGATTTAAGTTTTCCTCCATTAATAGCCATGGGTTTGTCTGATATAGCGTTTATAATTTTGAGATAAGTTCTTTTAATTCCTAGTTTCTCTAGCATTTCTTTTTTTTTCTTCTTTTTATCATGAATTTGTACTGGATTTCATCAAGTCATTTTATGCATATATTGACACGATCATATGATTATTTTTTAAAATTTATTTCTTTATTCTAATTTTTATACATTAAAGCAGAATGCATTTCAACTTATAGTACACATATAGAGTGCAGGTTTTCATGTCTCTTGTTATACACAAAGTAGAGTCACACCATTTGTGTCCTCATACGTGTACTTAGGGTAATGATGCCAGCTCATCCCAGAATCTTTCCTACTCCTATGCCCCATTTCTTCCCTTCACACCCATTTGCCCTATCTAAGGTTCCTCCATTCCTGCCATGCCCTCCCCTGCAACAATTATGGATCAATATCCACATATCAGAGAAAACACTCAGTCTTTGTTTTTTGGGGGAAATTGACTTACTTCACTTAGCATGATATTCTCCTTCTCTATTTACCTGAAAATGCCATGATTTTATTCTCTTTTCATGCTGAGTAACATTCCATTGTGTATATATACCACAGTTTATTTATCTACTTATATATTGCAGGCCAGCTAGGTTGGTTCTACAATTTAACTATTGTGAATTGTGCTGTGATAAATATTGATGTAGCTGTGTCACTGTAGTATGCTTTTTTAAGTCCATTGGGTATAAACCAAGGCGTGGGATAACTGGCTCAAATGGTGGTTCCATTTCAAGTGTTTTAAGGAATCTCCATACTGCTTTCCGGATTGGTTGCACCAAAAATGCGGGCCAGCCTATCTATCACCCAGCAGCAGGCCAGCTTGCACACAGTGGGGATGCCTGCTGCAGAAGCACACTGCAGCTCCAGACACCCCCTGAGCTTGTGCAATTCATTGACTTCAACCTCCCACTTCATGAAGCAGGGAGAAAATGAAAGTAAAGCAAACCTGAATGTGAATCAGGGTTCTAATTGCAGATGATATGATTCTATATCTAGCAGACCCAAAAGGCTCTACAAAGAAACTATTAGAGCTAATAAATGAATTCAGCAAAGTGGCAGGATTTAAAATCAACACGCATAAATCAAAGGCATTCCTGTATATCAGCGACAAATCCTCTGAAATGGAAATGAGGACAACCACTCCATTCAAAATATCTTCAAAAAAAATAAAATACTTGGGAATCAACCTAACAAAAGAGGTGAAAGACTTATACAATGAAAACTACAGAACCCTAAAGAGAGAAATAGAAGAAGATCTTAGAAGATGGAAAAATATACCCTGTTCATGGATAGGCAGAACTAACATCATCAAAATGTCGATATTACCAAAAGTTCTCTATAGGTTTAATGCAATGCCAATCAAAATCCCAAAGGCATTTCTTGTAGAAATAGAGAAAGCAATCATGAAATTCATATGGAAAAATAAAAGACCCAGAATAGCAAAAACAGTGCTAAGCAAGAAGTGTGAATCAGGCGGTATAGCAATACCAGACTTCAAACTATACTACAGAGCAATAGTAACAAAAACAGCATGGTACTGGTACCAAAACAGGCGGGTGGACCAATGGTACAGAATAGAGGACACAGAAACCAATCCACAAAACTACAACTATCTTATATTTGATAAAGGGGCTAAAAGCATGCAATGGAGGAAGGATAGCATCTTCAACAAATGGTGCTGGGAAAACTGGAAATCCATATGCAACAAAATGAAACTGAATCCCTTTCTCTCGCCATGCACAAAAGTGAATTCAAAATGGATCAAGGAGCTTGATATCAAATCAGAGACGCGCCGTCTGATAGAAGAAAAAGTTGGCTACGATCTACAGTCGGTGGGGTCGGGCTCCAAATTCCTCAATAGGACACCCATAGCACAAAAGTTAATAACTAGAATCAACAAATGATCTCTTAATTGGCATTGTGCATCTGGGACTTGGAACCCGCAGGCCATCTCTGCCTCCAGTGGTGATCTGAAAGGCACAGTTAAGCAGAACTCCAGGAGTTAGCTTCCTGATACCACAGCAGAGGTTGCTGCATCTCCATTTAGTGCTGGGGTACACAGAGCCTGCTCACTTTGTGAGGTAGCAACTACTACCTCACCAACTGCTGCTTCAGCCACCACTCCTTCTCTAACAGCGCTACCTTCTTCTTCTTCGCTGCTTGGAGTACTCTGGACTTCAAGACCACTAGGACGCCTAGGATGACTGAAGTCACTATGGCTACCCTCCTTTATGGAACAGCCTGAGCTACCCTGGAAACCAGGAACTGAAAGCCCATAGTGGCCACTCTGGACATCTTCAGGGCCCCTTGCACCACTTGCAATGCCTGCTCCTCTACTGGGGACCTTCATGGCTACCCCACTTCACCCTCACTGACCTCAAACACCACCAACCACCCACCTCAGGCTGTGAAGAAGAAATTTATTGGGATATAAGTTTTTAAAACAATTTCGAGTGATGCTTTGGATTTCAGAAGTATCTGTAGCTCTATCTCCTTCTTCACCTTGAAGTTTGCTGATTTGGGTCTTCTTTTTCTTTTTTTTTTTAGTTTCGCTATGTGTTCATCATTTTGGTTTCCCTTTTCCAGGAACCTATTCTTTGTGACATTGATCTTTTGTGTTATCTTTATTTTCAATTTCATAATTTTTGGCTCTGGTCTTAATTATTTATTGTCTTCTACTGATTTTGGAATTAGTTTTCTCTTGTTTTTCTAGTTTCTGGAGGTGCAACATTAGATTATTTATTTAATGTCAGGAGCAAGTACAGAATTGTGGGTCTTGAACTGTGCTGTGACAGAGGTGATGCCTCTCTTGGGAACTCTGGGTATGAAGGCATCAGTCTGAGACTTCCCCATTGCTATGGTGACTCCCTGTTCAATAAGAAGTTCTGTGCCAGCCAGGAACACTTCCTTTCTTCTCCATGAGGTTCAGACACCAGCTGCTTAGGGATGGAAAGTTATGGGTAAAAACTGATCATCATAATAAGGCTGTTCCTGCTCATGACCTTGGTTATGCTTACTTTGAAGAAACATTCTCAGAATAAATACTTTTGATGTTTATATCTATGCAATGAACTTGCTGAGCTTGTTTTGTGTCACTACCTCCCGAAAAAGGAGGAGTCAATCACTGAGGCCCAGCTTTTTCTTTGTTTGTGTTTCTGTTTGCCTTTTCTCCATCCCCTTACTACCTTGTCTGTGAACTTGAATCAATGGCTGTGCAGGTCATGGAAATTTGAGATCTTTCTAATTTTTAATATAGGAACTCTATAATATAAACTTTCCTCTTATAACTGCTTT